TTTTTTTTTTTTTTTTTAACCCAGTGACCCTCTCAGAAAGAAAGCAGTGAAAGGAAGGGTCAGGTGACACTACTAGAGAAACACATGCTCAGTACTGTATGTTATATTTAACGAGAGGAGGAGGGTTTTAAAACAGGACTGACCAGCAACATTAAATTGAAATCGACTTGTACTGTACCAGAACACATGGATGTAAAACTTTTTCTTTTTTCTTTTGTTTCTTCTGATGATAATTATGTATTCCTGCTCCATACATTCCTTCACATTGTACAGTTTCTATGAAAACGCTGGCATGCTGGTGGGGTTGTATATTCTATCATCATTTGTGATTGCTCTTCTCGGTCAATAAAGATTTTGCTCAACTTGGCCTCGAATACGGTGTTTTGCAAATAAGTAGTACTGCTTGTAGCTGGACAAACACTGTAGCAGTCCCGTAGTTAACTGTGTTAATAAAGACACCAAGTTCCACTCTACTCTGCTTGTAAAACAGTTACATAATGTTTACTGCTGCTCTGGAGGAGCTTTGTCTGAGAAAATGGCCTCAGCTTGAAAAATGTGGCCATTTATAAGACCGGGAGGAAAATGTAGGGTTTTTTTGGCACTCAACCCATACTAGGCAATTAGGGAGTCGGCATGTCCCTCCTATTTCACATTGGTAGTTTACTTAATGTATCAAAGCCTTTTCTTAGAGTCATTCAGGAACAGGAAAAATACTTGTTTAAACTTAAGTAATTCTGTTTCTATTTTAAATATTCTTAAATGGTAAATTGCCACAAAAGCTGAGACATATTTGGATATATGGAAACACTTCATCTAGAGCAGGGTTTCTGCAGGTTTCAACAGGTTAACTTTTGAAGACCATTATGAATGCAATTTAAGACCTATTTTAGTGTCAATACTGGCAAAAAAAATCAGTATTGGTTCAATGTCACTTGTTTTGTAGTTGTTGCAGCATGATCAGTACAAACGATTCCCAAAGACAAAATTAAAAGAGAATGAAAAATTCAACATGTCAAAATCATATGCAAGACATTTTCAATCATCTAAAGGCCTAAAAAAAGACCCTGTTGGAGTCAAATACTGAAAGTGTTTGAGATGTGCTTGCTTGAGCTTTAATAACCATACTGTGTGTGTGAATGACTGATGTCAGTTAGACCATTCTGAACCTCATAAAACACTCAACTGCAGGTGGATGTAGTTCAGGAGGTAGAGCGGGTTGGTGGTTCAATGCCCAGCCCCTGACCAACACACTTTAATGCTAACGGTTACAACAGCTAACTTAACAGCTACCAGTATTTGAGAAATATTGTAGCAAATATCTTAAAGGTGCTGTAAGGAATATCTTTTGCTAAAATAAGTGTTAAATAGCTCTACATTCTGACAGCCATCACTGATACAGAGTGTTCAGTTAGTAACATGGGTCGCCCTCCTTTCTGCAGTAAACAGAGAATACACTTTCTGGTATCTTGTTCCCATTTCATCCAATCAGGAGAGAGAACTCCACAAAGAGGCGGTCCTCAAGAGCAGGCAATTGTGAGGTGTGGAGGAGGGAGGGACCTGCTAACTGCAAGAATGGACAGGACATTAGTCAAATACTGATTTCACTTACAGCACCTTTAAATAATAAAATATGTTTTTTTTTCTTCCAAGAATTGGAATGAATATATGTACAGAGAGGACACTTTACACTGGAAACATAAACCTAGAGCTCACTGGTGGACAGATTGTGTAATGGCAACATATTTTCTTAATTACCTCAAAAGCATTTGTTTTTCTTCTGTGAAGCAATTTCTTGTTACTTATTGGCCTACATATTCACCATTATGATATCTCCAATAAGCTAACACCTGCAGCTGTAGTTAGTTATTAATTATAGTTTGACTTTTTTCCTCAAATGACAGTATGTACTTTTTTAAGTTAAACAGTGAAAGATGATTTACAGAGAACAGAGCCATAATAATTTATGCCCATACTGTATTTTATACTTAACAGTGTACATTTACCAAAGCAAAATAGAAATATCACTTAGAAATGTATATTGAAAGGCACAGCATCAAAATACAATTTGACATGCAGGTTTTTCTTTAAAATTGGAGTAAACATTCAAAAGTTGACCCATCTGGCCTGTCTGTTGAATAATAACAGCCGTCCGTCACAGGGTGAATACTTAGCTTACGGGTCGTTGCTTTCAAAAGCGTCCAGTCAAAATGGCAAAGTGAAATTACTACTGACTTACAGTACTAAGGATAGAGCATGCGTTCTCCGAAACCTCTTGAAAGATCTGACGTTTGTAACAAACAGTTTTCTGTAAAAATCCCTCTGAACACGAGGTGCATCTGACGTCCATGATTAGCACCCAAAACTCTCCGTCCTTTTTACAACAGAGACCACGACTACACCTTTACATCATCACTGTCAGGACAGATGGCCCCTGTACATAAATATACATATTAAATATACATTCAGAGGAGCAGGGAGAAATGAGCATGCAAATTTGGTCCATCTTTACAGCAGTCAGCCAAAACAGAAAGCATCGACCCAAGACTCATCCTGAGAACACTGACCACTTGGAGTTTTCCCCAAAGGACATGCAAAACTGGGGCTGGTTTTTGGCACATTTATGTCTTTTTTTTTGTCTTTTTCTAGTAACCACCCCCTACACCTGACTGTTTTTATGTCTTCACCCCTTCAGAGGTCAAGAAAGCTATCTAAAACATTACTGTGAGCTCGCACTGTGCATGGCTTTAAGCCTCTTAACACATTTTATACAAAGTATCAGAGAAGCAAAGCACATTAAAATATTCCAGTTAAAAAAATAACGACAATAAAATCGTAATATAAAAGTGGATGTGAACAGGAACATCCCGTCAGTCCACTGGAGGTGCAGTTCAGCTTGTTATACAGTAGATCTGCCAAAACATAAAGGCCCAAACACAGGCTAATAACCCTGAAATCTATATGTTGTTCCAGTTACTGTTGAATGTTCTGTGCAGGTGTTTGATGCTGCCGTCTCTCTTCCCGGTTTGTGTCTTCTGAGTTGGGCAAAAGAAGAATGTAATACTTTTATCTCCATGTAAGGTTTATAGGTTCATCTTGAGAGTTTGCTGATGACTCGAATGAGGGCGGCGTTCTCATCCTTGAGCCTCTGGTTGTCTGCTCTGAGGTCCCCCAGAACCTGCAGAGACATCATCAAACAGTTTTAGCTTTTGCATGCCTTCAAATACACACAGCCTTCTTCAGCAGCTTTTCATCCGTTTTAGATAGTCAGGACATTTTTCACTGTTGTTAAGCAGCTTGTGTTCATGTTTTTTAACTTCTCCTCAGTTGAGAGGATGAACTGATAATGGCGTGACAACTCATTGGGGCAGCTGCTGTGCGACTTTGATCTGACATCTGAACTCAGATGAGATGTAAACCAGATGTATGTAACCTTAAAGGTGTGCCTCACACAGGCAGAAGAACAGAGAAACGCAGCATCATAAGGATGCTTGAAGCAAAAAGAGGTAACCGGCGTAACCGGTCAGAGCATTTTACCCTACAAATAATGTTTCACTGCAGTGTCAATAATCTGTATAGTTGATGGCACATCTCATCTAATGTCCACTTTGGTTCAAGATGACATCCTAAACAGACACTCATTACAAATAAGGCATTTGCTCTGTGACATTGTGCCTCTGCTTTTATTCCATAAAGCTGGATGTATATTTTTCATATACGTGAACAATTTACATGTTAGCAGAGGTGATCTTTGATTCAAGGAAAAGGTTTACGGTAAACCACCAGTGCAGTTTAAACTGGAGCTTAAAGTAGGTTGTAGCTCTAAATAAACATGAATTAGCTTTAGACAACACCGGTATAACTCGGCCAAGCTAATTACATAGCAACAGCTGCAAACTGTTTGGGTTTTAGCTTAATAAGTGTACATTTTTAAAGGTGCATCAGTGTAAAAGGTGAGGACAGTGCTCAAAGTGTGTGACTGGGCACTGGAGATATTTTGATGCCAAGCAAAAAAAAAAAAAAAAATAA